CAGGCTCAGATGAACTCAGAGCTGGAATGAGGGAAGAAGGCAATGCAAAGAGCAGTGTCCAAGCTGCACAGCGTGCAGAAAGACAGGCTCTGTCAGTGCTATCTACTGCGGCCTGCAGCTGTGAGTGTGTACATGCATGTGCATCTGCATCATAGGAAGCTGTGACCCTTTCAAAATGAGCTCACACAGCTGGCCCATCTCCCATCCCCAAGGCCACCTCCTTGAGTCTCTGCTCAGTTGCCAGAATTCAAGGCCTGGATAGACCACAAATGAGACTAGGGTCGGGACCCCACAGTAAGCCGTGGAAATAGAAGAGATTTCAGCTGGAGGTGGCCTAAAGCAGTGGCTCAGATTTCACCACAGGTGTCTTTCCTGGTGAGGCCCCATGGCATGGTCCTCAGTTCACCAGGATTGGCAGCACCCAGCCCGCCTGGGGATCTAAGTGAGTTCCTGGGAGGGGACCAAGAGGAAAAGAAGCCCGGTCTCTGAAGGACCTGCTTTGTAGGTGGGCAATTTTGGTGTGATTTCGGGGTTGCTGGGAAACCCCTGAACCTCCAAATGCATTAATAATTCTTGGAATTCTGCCATTTGAAATGTATTCCTTTGGCTTTATTTGGTCCATCAAAATGATATCCCTTGGAGCATTGTGCCCCTGGATCCTGATCAGTCATTCACAACACAGTGTGAGGGAGGGGTCCAAGTCACTCCTGAGGACTGGATTGGAGTGTGTGTGGTGATGGGGGGAGTGGGGATAAAGACAAAGAGGGAGTTGAAACAGGGTGGGAAGAAGCTGCCCCGCTCTCAGGGCTGCCCCTCTTGATCATGGTCCCCCTAAGCCCAGCTCACAAAGAACCCCACTCACCAGGAGCACCCGTTATGCCACTGAGGGCTGGGCTCAGGCCCAGGCCCACCTGGACTGGCTGCGGTTCCACTACCTGCTATCTGAGTGACCTTAGGCAATGGGCCCAGCCTTTCTGGCCATGTTCCCATATGTAAATGGACATAAAACACCTACTTTGGGAATGAACTTTTTATTTGAATTAGAAGGAAATGCATGAGTGTGGCCCCTGATGCTGGCACCCAGTCAGCCTATCCTGAGGAGATGCCAGGTCAGATTATCTGAGGGCACACAGCTGAGTGGGGCTGTGCTGAGGGGCCATCTTGGGAGGTCTCCTTTAGGAGGTGTCTGGACAGGCATCCTGACTGCTGGTGGATAGGCCTGTTGTCTTGGGTACGGAACACCCAGGTCAGTAATACTCAACCCCCAGTTGACTTGTTGCTGAGAAGGGGAGGGATGGGAGTCAATGATTGTTGACCCCTGATCTGCCCAGGACTGGTCTTTTTGTGCCACCCTGGTGAGGTGCCAGAGAGGGACAGTGTCCTGGCCATGGCCACCCAGCTTAGTGGGAAGGGTCAGGCTTAGCAAGGAAATCAGAGCTCTGGAAGAGGCAGGCACTGTCCCGTGCAGGCTCCTGCCCCCACATCCAGGCCCTGGGTTCCCTAGAACACCCTCCGGCACCCAGTCCCACTTGGCACTGCAGAGGAGCATGTAGTCCTGCTTCCCCAGGGAGGCGCTGCCAGCCTAGATGCCACCCCACCCACACCCAGCGCCAGCAGCCGCCCGGCACTGTGAAAAGCAAGGGGTCGTCTCTGTACCTTCATCAACCGTGTGAGCCGACCTGTCTCACCTCATCCCCTGTCTAACCTGTCCTGGGTACAGCAGTGGCCTCCCTGAGCTTCCTGCCCTGTCACAGCGGGGAAGCAGGGAGACCTCAGTGCATTCCCTGGTTGGAGGGTGGGCCCTGGGATGAGGGCAGCACCTCCTGGGAGTGAGGCAGATTGGGTTGGATCCTGGTTTGCGTCACTCTGGCTGTACCACTTGGAGGGGTGACTTCCCCTCTGGACCTTGAGTCTTCCTGGCTGGTGCTGGAGTATTCACACCTCCTGATGGCTGGGCAGCTGTGCTTCCTCCATGGACTGCTGGTCCGAGGTCATCAGACCCCCTGTAAGGAGCTCCTGGGCCTCCCCACTGATCCCAGGCCTGAGCCCGGAGGAGCTAGAAGAAACAAACTCCCTGTTTCCTTGCGATGGCATGTGGTGGAAAGTAGGTTAGAAGTTACTCTCCCCCAAAGGGTGGCAACTGAGCTGTGGAGACAGAAGTCCCAGCTGCTCCATGTGGGGACTCGGGCCCCACCTGCCACCTTCGAGCCCACCTTCTGAGGCTGGACTGGTTCCAGCCCTGCCAGAGCGGCCCCGCTGTGGTGTGCACACTGCCGAAGTGACACCTCAATTCAGTCTCCTACTTGGGAGAGGCTGCCCTGGCCAGTGAAATGGGGTCAGCTCAGACCAACACCCAGGTTGCCCTATGACCTGAACGTGTTCCTTTAAATCCCCGTGTAGTCAACAGCTTGTCTTGTGGGGTCTCAGCTGTGGTCAGTTGGCTCCAGAGGGCAACTCCAGTGTCATGGAGGCCTTGGCAGGCTACTTAGGACCCCCCAGCCCCAGTGACCACAGGCTGCTCTGACACAACCCCAACCAGCCTCCTGTGGGCCCTGAACAGGCGTCTAAGAACAGGAAGCGCCTCAGCTGTTCTCCAGGCCAGCTGGACACCTGCCTTTATACTCAGAGTATTTACCTTTCAGCCCCAGGTCTGTCCCAAGAGTCATCCAGAGGCTCCTGCCCTGCCCCACAGGTGATGTTCTCCCTGTGTCCTGTGTTCACAAAACTTACCTGTCCTGTGGTGGGAATGTGAGTGCCCACCCTGCCACAGTCACGTGCCCGAGCCAGCAGGACCTGCCTTTGGGGAGAATGAATTAGTTGGGTTCCATTTCTCCCCTAGGACACATGGCAGCCCCTGCCCAGAGCGAACCATCTCCTAAGCCCCTCACACTTAACGCAGTTCCCTCTTGAAGGCAGCCCGGGAACAAGAATAGCTTGAGGCTACAACTTATGATTTATCCCAAAGGCTCCCTTCTACCAAGCAGAGCCTGGCTCACAGACACGCAGCTGTCACTAGTTTCAAAAATGCTCCTGTAGGATGCCAGGTGCCAGCACTCAGAGGTGCCTCGGACATGCCCTGCTCCCAGGCAGAACTGGGAGGAGGACCCACCCACCAGGACCGGAGGGGTACACCCTGGAGCAGCAGGGAGAAGGGAGCAGAGCTGGTGCCCGGGGAAAGCGCTTCGGGGAGGACGTCCCTGAGGGAATCCCTGACCTGGGCTTGCAGGAAGGACAAAAAATTAACCCCACCAGATAGAGGGTGCAGGACGGCGTCCGAGACCAAGAAGTGGAATTGACCTCGCAGGTTCATTGAATCTGCACATCTGTTGTAATTGCATCTGCAAAAGCTAGAAAATAAAGTAGCAGAATGCTTGCATCGAAGCCGGGGAGCTGCCTCCGAGGGTAATGTTTGTGAGCCCAGGTGTTCAGCCATCTGCATGTCACCTGTTTGGGTCCTGGTTTCACTGTGTTGTAAGCACAGTTTCCGTGCACTGTTGAACACGATCTGTAATCTCCGCTTTCCCCCAGCCAGCAGACCCCTTGTGCCCTCTCTGAAGTGAACGGTTCTCACAGTGCTAACTTTCTACATCCAGCATCGGCCCCATATGGAGACTGTGAGGGCCCCTGGGCACGTCTGGGTTTCCCCTCAAAGTGTGGTACTGATGCTGTAAGAGCAGGCTGACAGCTCCGTCACCATGTTGGGGACTTTCATCCTCCTGGCAACCCTATGAAATGGATACTGTTATCCCCATTTTACAGATGAGGAAACTGAGGCTTGGAGAGGTTAAATTAATTGCTTAGTTTGAGCTTTCAAAGGCTGAGATTCTTTTCTTTTTTTAATATATCTTTATTGATTTCAGAGAGAGAAAGAGAGGGAGAGAGAGAGAAACATCAATGATGAGAGAGTCATTGATTGGCTGCAGCCCGCAACCCGGGCATGTGCCCTGACCGGGAATCGACCCCGATCTCCTGGATCCCAGGTCGATGCTCAACCGCTGAGCCATGCCCGGCCAGGCTCAAAGACTGAGATTCTAATCCAGGTTGGTCTGATTCTAACACATTCTTTCCTTTACACTCTGCCAAGTTGTAGAGACCCTATTTTCTGAAAACATTTGAAAATTACATTTTGGTAAATGTCATTCCCAGGGACTTAGCTGTGATTTTTCTTTAATGGGCACATTTTGGAGTAGATGACCTCTCAGCACCGCTGCCACTAACATGCTGGGAGCTGCTTGGGGGCCCCAGTGAGCAGGTCTTGTGTAAAGTCCCGTCCTCGTGTTGAGCCGAGCTGGCACTCCCTCCAGGGCCGCCAGGGGGCATGGAGATGGGTCATGGCCACACCAGCCTGGACCAGAGGGACCAATGCAGGCTCACGCCTGACAGTGGTGGGCATCTGAGAAGGAAGGCCCTGTTAGCATTAGAAGGAACTCCATGTAAGGGAAGCTAAGGTGATTTTCTAAACTTTGAGCTGCAGCTCGCCATTTCAAAGCTCTTCTGAATCCCGATCTTTTCCTTCACAGCTGATCCGTGGCTGAGTGCTTCACGCCAGCGACTGTCCAACTGAAGCCAAAACTCTCCTCCTTTGGGGCATCTCCTGATCCCTCCTTTTCTCATTTTGTTAGGATGTGAGCTCTTTGCCTCTTACCCCCTGGCATTAGTGTTTTCATGTTCTGTTTTTCACACATTTGCAGAATACATTCATTCATTCTTTCAGCAAAGACTGATCTGTTACCACTATGTGTGCAGCCCTGAGCAGGCACCCGGGAAGCATGTGTGCAGGGAATTCCATCCCCAACACAAGGGTGGGGGTGGGCAGCCTTGCCAGCACCCCCTGCACTCACAGCTGATGTGAGAGCTCAGACTCCATGTGAGGGGTGACCAGGATGCTGGCATACAGAGTAACAAGTGCAGGTTGCCCGTTTGGCCCTGCTGCTGGCGGGGCTCCCTGCATGTCCTCCACAGGCCATGCCCTCTTACAAAGCTCCTCTTTGTCTCTCTAGGCCTCCTGTTCTGAGTGGCAGCCCTGTCATCTCTGACATCTCATTGATCCGGCTTTCCCCACACCCTGCTGGCCCCGGAGAGTCCCCTTTCAACGCCCCCCACCCGTACATGAACCCCCACATGGAGCATTACCTCCGTGCCGTGCACAGCAGCCCCACGCTCCCCACGATCTCTGCAGCCAGGGGTCTCAGCCCTGCTGATGGTGAGTAATAACCATGTGTGGTGTCAGGCGGGTAGTAGACTGGCCGGGGAGATCACTTCCTAAATTATATAACTGTCTAATCATTAAGTTGTACACCTGAAACTAATATAATACTGTATGTCAACTGTAATTGGAAATTTTAAAAAAGTTTTAAAAAGCTGCCAGGTGAATCTTCTCAAAATTTGCCCACGGAAACCCGTCTTGGCCCAGTGTCAGTGCCAGGCAGAGAACATTGCTGCCCACACTTGTGAGCCCGTAGGCAGATGCTCCTGGAAGCATGGTCCCCATGGATCCCTCAGCACCACCACCTGCACCCTCGCCAAGAGGAGTGTGTCCTCTCCCAGCTCCTGCATGTGACCGTGAGCTGAAGCTGAGCTCCAGACCTGAGAAGGCTGAGGCTGGAGTTTCACAATGAAAAGGATTTCTGCTTCCGAGTGTCCAGAGAGGCTCCCTGAAGCATTGGGCTCAACCCCTGGCCATGAGGTTTGCACTTTGCCTGATCTTCACCAAAGAGAAACCGGACAAGGCAAATGGCTGAAGCCACGGGACCTGGAAACAGCTGGCTATTCTGAAACGGCCCCTCAAGGACTCTGCGTGCGTCCCCTGGTGGCCTTGACCTAGCTGAGGTGTCCTGAGGGCTGTGCTGCCTCCACATCGAGAGCCATCTCCTGGAGAGTGTCCCTGCTTCCCCACGCCTCTCCTGATACCCCAGCCCGCGGCAGGCTGGCTGGAGCACGAGCATGCAGCCGGGTTCTGAATGCTGCCCTGCCCTGAAGGTCGCACCGGCGTGGTGGGCTGAGTGGTGCCCAAGAGTCTGTGTCTTATCCCTGAACCTGAGAGCACTGCCTGCTTTGGAAAAATGCCTTTGTGAATGTGATTACACTAGGAACTTTAAGATGAAATCATCCTGGATTGTCCACTTGGGCCTTAAACCCAAGAACAAGTGTCCTTATCACACACACAGATGAGAAAACAGCACAAATATGGGAATGATGTGGCCACAAACGAAGGAAGCCAGCAGCCCCCAGAAGCTGGAAGCAGCAAGGAACGAATTCTTCCCTAAAGCCTCTGGAGGGAGTGTGGCCCTGCCAGCACCTTGATTGTGGACTTCTGGCTTCCGAACCATGAGGGAGTAAAATTCTGTTGTGTTAACAACAGCACCAAGGCTGTGCTAACTTGTTATAGCAACTGTAGGAAGCTTATACACTAGTTTTTGAAGTAGTCAGAGCCCAGCTGTTCCCTGGGCCTGGGCCAGAGTGGGCCCTGCGGATGTCTGTCAGAGGAACAAGAACAGAGCGCTCTCCCAGAGGTCTTGTGGACCAAGGACACTAGTCTCAGCTGACAGCCGTGTAGCCCGTGAAGAGCTAAGTGGCGAGACAAGGCTGCCCTTGAAGGAAACTTGAGTTGACCGGGCACTGATTTTATGCCTGATTTTGATGTACACATTAATGTGGCTCCTACCACACCCACTTATCCCGGCCTCAAACCCAGGAGACAGCAGGAATGGGTTCAGTATCAGAGAGGATGTGGCTAATTTGCATGACCCTGTCCCCTCATGGGGTGGACCAGATGCCCTGAGGCCCCACTGGCTCTGACCCCAGCTCCCAGGTCACTAGAGGTAGCCTACCAGGCTCATAGGGCAGCATTGTCAGCTGTCCAGCCCCAGCACCTGCTCACACAAGGTCTGGAAAGTTCATCAGTGATCCGAGGCCAGGGCTCTCTCTAGGGGACACGGCAGGAGACAGCAGGAGGGGGGAGAGGAGGAACCTCTTCTGCTGACCGACTTCTTCTCTGCCGAGCCACAGGAGCTCTCCCGTGGTATTTGCAGGACTAATGGCAGAGGCCGTGGAGTGCAGTGGTTAGGAACTTCTAGCCTGAAACCGCCTGCTGTGTGACCTTGGCAAGATCTCTTTTGCTCTAAGTGCAGGGTCCTCGTCTGCAAGGGGAGGGCGGTGGTGCCCCCAGCCCACAGTGTTGTTGTGGTAGTGAAATTAGAGAATGACAGATCCCCTCATCACTGTGCCTACACAGACCCAGCAAGTGCTCCTTACAACGCTGGCTGCTACTGTCATTTGTAAGAATAAATTGAGTCGTGGGTACTAACACCCCATTTTACAGATGGAAGACAGCCAGCTCAGAGCGGTGGCACCTTCCCAGTTTTGCATACCTGGCGAAGGCCAGGTGTCTCCAAGGGTATGTGGTTTCCAAGCTCCCCGTTCTTTCCCTGGCACCATAGCCCTGAGGGCTAGGCCTCGAGAGCTAACGATTGTCCCACCTGCCTCTGCTAGGGCCCGGTAGGGCTGAGCGAGGGTTGGAGGCAGACAGTTGGCCCTGCAGCTGCGGGCCGGGAGCTGGTGGACCGCGTCAGGCGAGGGCCTTGGCCGGGACAGGCCGGGCTAGCGCGCAGCTGCTCACGCACCTCTGACGTTCAAGGCCACCAGGGCCCACCTGGCTGCTGCCCTGCCACCTCCATTTGCATCGTTTTACTCTGCAGTCTCGGCTGGACCACGGCCCTGGTCGGCTGGGAGCTGTGGGCTTCTCCCTGGCTTGGAGGGGAGGAGAAGGTGGGGTTATGGCTCTGACGAAATGGAGGACCGTGGAGCGGGGCCCCCCATCAGCAGAAACACACCTGCCACCAGGTCTGCTCGGTGCGGACATGGAGCCGGGGAGGGGGTCATAGGGGCTCATGGGGCAGAGGATGGACCTGAGGGCACTGAGGGGCACTCCCTAGGCCAGGTTGTGTTTCTCTTTTGTTTTTTGGCCAGATTTTGATGGCTTCTGTCTTTCTCCCTCCTTTTTGCCGCAGTGGTCCATGAGCACCTTAAGGAGAGGGGACTCTTTGGCCTCCCCCCGGCAGGCGCCAACCCCTCGGACTATTACCACCAGATGACCCTCATGGCGGGCCACCCCACGCCATACGGGGACCTGCTCATGCAGACTGGGGGTGCCACTGGCACACCCCATCTCCACGACTACCTCAATCCAGTGGACGGTGAGTGCTGGGCCAGGCGGTGGCAGGGAGCAGGATGGGGCTGGGGCTGGTGGTACCCCTAGGGGCTGAGGCAGGTGCTTCTTGCTCCTTTGGGGGTGAAGAATCCTAAGAAGGAGTCTGGATTTACCACAATCCCTGCCAGGACTGCTGTCCACAAGGCCAAGCCTGGACCACACACACAAATGTTCAGTGAGTGTCTTAGACGCTGCAGGAAACAAAACGCAGTTGCCTCTGCCTTCTTGGAGTTGGGGGCACACTGAGGACAGCCGGGGAGAACCGGGAGTGGAAGGGAGCACTGCAGGTGCAATCTTAAATGAAAGACTCGAGAAATCCCATGGGGAAGATGATATTTGAACAAAGAACTGAAAGAAATGGGCTGCCCAGAATAAGCCGGAAGAGTGGCCTAGTTAGGGTAAACAGCAAGTACAAAGGGCCTGAGGCAGTGTTGCCTGCTGAACTCAGGAAACGTCCAGTAGGCCGGTGTGCCCGGCACCCAGTGAGTCAGGGCAGGAGTGGGTGCCAGAGTTCTGGGGCTGTTCTGCAGGCTAGTCAGGGCTTGGTAAGACTTTGGCTTTCGTAGAGAGTAGGATGGGGCCTTGGGGGAGGGGTTGGATAGAGGAGTAATGAGGTCTGACTTATTTTTAAAAGAAATCCCACTCTGACTGCTGATCTGAGAATGGATTTAGGAGCCATGTGGAAGCAGGGGTCCTGTTAGTAGAAGGGGGGAAGTGGCCATGTTTCAGACAGATTTTGAAGGTGGAGGCAGAGGATTTACTGCCAGATCGGGGATGTGGAGTTAGGGAGAAAGAAAGGCAGAAAGGACAACCCCGAGGTCTTCGGCCTGAGCACTGGGGGACAGAGGGTCAGTCACTGAACCAGGGACTGTGGGCAGGCAGACTTAGCAGGCAGCAGAACTTCATAGGTGAAGTTCTTGGTGCCTATTGGATACCAAGTCCTTCCCTCCCACCAAATGCCACCCTCACAGCTGCTTTCACAGGGACACCTTCAGTCCCTTGGCCATGAACCCCTGGGGTCAGCATGGAACCCCTGTTCGGGAGTCAGCTAAGCATCCATCAGTCAGTGCCACTCTACCTTCTGGTCCTGGAGCCCAGCCCAAAGATACCCTGGATCCAGGCAGGCAGACTTGCTCTCCTTAACCCCTGCCCGGGATGGCGTTTTCACTCCCTGGTGACAGGGTGCAGACAGAAACCTGCAGGAAGACCTGCCCCACAGGAAGTCCTGGTACCTGCTGGGCTGCAGGCAGTCTTATGGGGCCAAGGTGGGCCCCTGTACCCCTCAGTGCCTCCCCTCCCCCAGTACTGTGCCCTGGACTTCCTGCCACACCAGCCACTGCAGTTCTGTCTTATTGGCTGGGGGCAAAGCTGAACCCCTCACTTCCTAAGGCCTGCTTGAGATCTCACCTCCCCCAGGAAGTCTCTTCAGATGCCTTCTCACCCTCTTCCACTGGCTTTTGCTTCTCTCTCTCTACCCCATCCAGTGCATACTTACAGGAGCCGTCGTGTGCGGTTCCTGGGCCCTGAGCGGTCCTTGTTCCCCCCATGAGAGTGCTGTTGGGAAGAGCACTACAGTCCTCCCAGTGCAGCTCTCGTGGGTATTGTTCCACGTCACTCCACATGCACCCTGAAGGATGTGACCAGAATTTGCTCCCTGGGTCTGGGCTCCCCACTCCCACCCCCGCACCCCCTCCCCATGCCTTCCCCAGGGTGGTGTTTAGTCCAGCACCAGGCACACGGTATAGAGTGTGAAATGTGGCCTGTTGGCGCCTGAGCACGCATACATCCACGTGCTCCCCTTCTCTCCTCCTCTCAGCCCTGTGGGTGCTCCCTAGGGAGCAGGAGGGGTGTCAGCAGGTAGTGAGGCTGTGTACACGTGACCTGTCAAACCTAGAAGCCAGACAACCACAATGCAATGCAGAAGTCCACATAGTGTTCCAACAGCCATGTCAGAGAACCCCGAATGGGTCCCACCTCCCAGGGTGGATGTCACTGGGCCAGCTGGACAGTGAGCAGACACAGAGAAACTCTGGCCAAGGGGGTGTCCCCAGAGTGCAAGAGAGGTCGAATCAGCAAACAGGAGCACCAGCTGTGTGAGAATAGAATTGCCTTTATGCACATTCCTCCCATGGGACTCTCCTCAGCCACCTCCTAAGGCTGGAATCACTATCCCCTCTTTCAGATGAGCAAACTACGCTTCCCAACATCAGGTGACTTGCCTAGGTTGCGAGTCAGGGTTCCAAGCCCAACTTTGTTTGTTACTAGCACTGTTGGCCCTTTCCCTCGGCACACCACCTCCAGGCAGCCCAGCACATCTGACCAGCTCAGTGAGCCGTGGCTTCAGGGAGGGCCTGCTAGACCAAATGTGTTCCAGCGCCGCCCAGAGGGCTGGGCCCAAGCCGGGGTGCTTGTCGAGGTGGCGGCAGGCAGAGAGGTTGTGCAGTGAGCTGTGGGCCTGCCGGTGGTGTGTCCTCGCTATAATAGCTGGGCCAGAGGTGGTGGTGGGACTGAGCAGGGTCTAGACTGTGACTCCCAGCCCTGCGTGCTGTGTGAACTAAACACACTGAAGATCTCATGTGTGAACTTGGCTCAGTGCCTGGCAGGCAGTACGTGCTCAGTTAATGCTAGTTTAAATTTCTTTCTGCCAGTATCTTTTTCTGTCTTCCCAATCTACCACTTCCTGCAGGATTTTGTCTCAATTGTCGGCACCATTCTCCACCTAGTACCAAAGTCCTCCTGGGCTGTGCCCCATCCACCCCATCCGCCCCATCCATCCCATCCATCCCACCCCCAGGGTCTCCAAATCTGCCTTGTCGACCCTCCCTCCTGGCCCCCCAGTTATTCGCCACTGTCCCAGCACTGCCCCTCAGCTCAGGCTCGTTGCTGCCTCTCATTGATCACTTGACCCCTTGGAAATTCTGTGGTCACATTCTGGGTCACCTATCTCCCTCAGGGTAAAATTGAAACGGTGTAACAGTGTTCAAGTGGCCTTCTCCTCCAGCCTCATCTTTCCCCACTTGCACACAGCACTCCCACCACCCGCTGCATCCGTAGATCCCGCCAGACAGCTCCCCCGCTCCTGCCTGCAGCGCCCTTCCTTGCAGGCTGGCCGGGTTCAGTGCTGCACTGTGGCCTCGGCACCTCTCCTGAGACACATCTCCAGTCCTGCCCCCCCAGCTGCTCCTCTCCCGCTCCTGCGCCTCCCTCCTTGTCCACCTTTGGAACCCAAGGAGCTCAGACAGCACTGGCTGCCACTTCCACATCTGAATCTAGGTCTGAGCATCGCTGCCACAGAGCAGCCTCGTGTTTGTGGGTGAGCGCGTGTGTGAGTGGCAGTCAGACACCTGGGATAGAAAGGTGCGAACTCATCAGGGGAGAGACTGTGCGGGGCCAGCAGCTGTCGGCCTGTAGGGCACCTGGAAGGGGCTGGGGACAGGGCAGCTCTGTGTCCCAGGAAACTCAGCCTTTACTTACACGTGGGGGCCGAGCACCTGAGTAGGGAAGGCAGGGGAGTGAGAGGGGAGTTCCCCAGCGGGCACGAGAGCACCAGCTCATGTGGGCTGCCCCTGATAACTCATCACACCGCTGCCAGTCTTTCCGCACCTCAGCTTTGAGACCGCCGCTGGCTTCAGGGTGCAGCGGGAGGCATCTCCCGCCCAGCGCTGGCCCGAGCGACATATCAGCTTCTCAGGCTGAGTGAGACACCCGGGGGGTGGGGGTCTGAACCCCGATGACCTTTCAGTTACAGACGAATTTTTTCCTTTGTTCCTAGTTACAATCCAAGGAATCAGAGTAGTTTAGAGTGATCTCCTGAACTTGTCATTACTTAACAGTTTTTTTCAGACCAGGTGATACTAGATCCGGAACCTTGGTTTCTGCTTTTTAAAATGGTTTAGGCGTTTCTGTTCCCCTTCCATGTGGATGTGCTGCTCACGTGGAGCCCTCAGACACTCGAGTCTCCTAGCCCAGGCCCAGGTCCAGCTGAGCCCAGACCTGCTTCGGGGTGTCCCCGGCTTCACCCCTTCTGTGACTGTGAGAGCGGGGAAAGCTCTCCCGCTCCAGCGTCCCCTGCTGGTCCCAGTTGCACAGGTCTGGGGAGAGACCTCCTGGAAGCTTCCGACCCCTCAGTGAAGGTGGGAGTGGACCTTCCCATCCAGTTCCTTTCTGCACAGACTCTCCCAGAGAAACTTGTGCAGGCCTGCAGCCTGGGCAGAACTCAGCAGACTAACAGCCTGTGGAAGGGCCCGAGACTCTCTGAGGACGTGTGTGTTCATGTTAGGAGCTATCCATAAATATGACCGTGACATGTAAGTTCTGCAGGTGCGGGGGGCGTCAAGAGCTGTGGAAAGTCAGGGGGACGGGGCCTTCCCTCTGTCTGTGTGTTTGTGTGTGTGTCTCTGTATCGTTCATTCGAGGGTATTTATTGGGCACCTGCTATGTGCCAGGCACAGCTCTAGGTGCCAGGGACACAGCAACGCACTGCCTGCCAAGTCCTGCCCTCATGGTGCTGCCCTGTGTGAGCTCCTGGCAGGACAAAGAATACTGTCCTGAGGCCACTGCGCCCACCCAGCCCCCTCTCAGCACCTCACTTTCACTTTCCAAGAGGAGGCAGGACTGTGGGGCAGAGAGAACTCTCCAGAGGTTTTGACTGTCCAGCTGGCTGTGGAGACGGGGCCTCTTGGCAAAGGCGGTCTGGAGAAGGGTGTAGGACAGCTACCTGGGTCCCCGTCCAGCAGAGCATGTCCCAGTCCACTCACCGGCAAACCACCAGCAGTTTCACCTTAGACAAGTGCCATCTGTACCGTTCTTAATTTAATACCATATTTTAATAGACTCACGTTTTGGGGTTAAAGAAATGGATGCTAAAATGGAACTTTGTCTATTTCCTGAAATGGGAAACCTGATAATATCTGAGGAAGATGTCCCTGTCTCTGCCTCCATTGAGCCTAAAATAGTCTCGTCTGGGTCATGCCTGCGACCTCCGTTGGGCAAACACCGTGGTGGTGGCGGGAAGGTGGGAAGCCTCTGACGGGGCTCCTGTCGCATTGGAAGCGCAGCCCCTCAGGCTCCCAGGGCTGGGCAGAGGGCACCTCGGGGCACGCCCGTCCCCGCTGCTGGGCGNGCCCTGCCTCCTGGTCGATGCAGGCTCCCCGCCTCTCGTTCTTAAAGAAGCTGATTTATAGCGGGGAGAGTGAGGGTGATGCTGCATCGGAAGGTAATAGATACCAGTCAGGGAATCAAGGTTATCATTCTGCCTAGTGGTTCTCTGGAGAGCGGGGGACTCTCTGGTTGTCACCAGGGCCCTAAAATGGAATTTCCTTGTGTTGTGCGTTGAATATTGGTGATTTAACAGCGGAACCGCCACCACCACCCTCCCTCCCACTCCTACCACATTGAGAAGATTGAAATGTTTCCGATAGAAATGTTGTCTGTTTACAGCCCATATTTCCTCCAAGCTGTATATTTTATTGTCATATTGACACTAATTTGACTCAGATGTCACCTCCGTCCTGACGCCCGTTCTTTATGCAGCCTGTGGGTCCACGGGGGGTTTCAGAAACCAATTACATTGATCACACCGCTGAGAGGCAGGAGGTGCTGATGGAGGGGCAGCCAGGGGCCCGGGCAGGCAGGGAGTCCTGCTCAGCTGCCGCAGGAGGAGGGACCGAGGCAGGGCCACCTGGCTGCAGGTCCCAGAGGGCGGGCTGTGCGTGCCGGGCATCTGGTGAACCTGCACAATCAGTCCCATGAGAAAGCTTCGTGAAGTCACTTTACAGGTGAGGAAGCTGAGCCGGAGCCCTGAGTATCTTTCTCCCTATCACAGAAGCAGGAAACGGGGCTGGTCAGCCTCGATCCGAGCTTCTGGGCTCCAAAGCCCAGGCCCCCTGTACAGCCCATAAGAGGGGGTGTGGGTGGCTGTGGATGGCTAAGTGTGGGCAGGGCAAGGTCTTCGGGCTGGATGCCCTTAGAGCATCTCCTCAGTGAGTTCAGGAAATACCTGGGTGAGGGGTCGAGCTGTGCAGGAGGGCTCCCTAACCGCTAAGAAGTCAGTGTCCATGAGCCTGGCCACAAAGTTGTGTCCCAAGGAGGGGTGTCCCAGCCCCATGCTGACGACAGTAACATCTGGCACAGAAATGGCTCCTCCTGGGAGGTTCTTCCGAACCAGGTTCCCGGCATCCCTCTGGCTGCCCTCAGTCCAGGTTCCTGATCCACAAGAGGTCCATCCAGAGCTCTGGATATGCTGATCCAGAGGTGGGTGCTGTTGGCCCGTCTTTCAGGTGAGGAACCAGCTCAGAGAGCTTCAGCCACTCACCCAGAGCCACCCAGTTCAGAACTGTCGGGCCAGATCCAAACCTGGGTCAGGTCTGGGGCCTTTCTCACATCTCCTGCCCTTCCCAGCTATCCCAAGGAAAGCAGCCACCGCCTGAGCACTCGGGATCACCTAGGCTAATGCAGCAGAGGTGGCGCCTAATGAATCCTGCTGGCGTGGTGGCCACCATTTCCATCTCTCACCTGGAAGGGGAGCTCCAGGAGTACAGGTCCGAGGGTCCTCCTTGCATGCAGTCCCTGCAGCCTCCAGCCAGTGCCCAGGGTACTGCCAACGCGGCACAAGGGTCTGGTGGCAGATGAACAAGCGAATGAGCGAGAGAAAGAACTAGTGGTGAAAGGGTCTAGGTACAAGTGGCGGCAGGAATGGGCCGTGTCGGCGGACACCTGGCTGGGTAAGGAGGCTGGTGCCTGTCGCCCGGAGGCTGTGGGACCTCAGAACAGGCATCCACAGATGAATGGATGTGGTGGCTCTGCCAATCCCGGTCATAAATCACAGGAGAAGCTACAGGAAATGAGTGCCAGGCTTTTCTTTCTATTTAGTAATTTATCAGGGGAAGAGGCACATTAATAAACATATTTCCCTGGAGGGGTGGGAATAACAGAGATGAATATCACTGTCAGATTTGGCCTGTTTCCTCTTGTTAAAGGCGCAAGAGAGGGTGGGAATCCAAATATTAGCAAAATCTTTTTGTAAATTTGTATCACAAATATGCCTGTATTTCTGACTTTACTTGATGTTCAGCCTTCCCCCAGCCCCACATCTCCCCATTTGCCATGCAGCTCGTAAGCCAGTATAACAGGAGTCTTTTGGAAGATTCACTTTTGCATCTTACTGTGAGTTCCCTTTAAAGTGAGGATTGGCAAGGTGTGAACTCAGGAAATAAGAACAAGGCTTACAGGGGCAGGGAACCTTTTTTCTGCCAAGGGCCATTTGGATATTTATAACATCACTCATGGGCCTTGAAAAATTATCAACTTAAAAATTAGCCTGCTACATTTGGTCAAACATTTAATTAACTCACCCCTAATGGGATGGCTGGAACTGCTTCTCTTTGGCGAGGCCTTGGCAGGGCCAGACCAAATGATTTCGGGGGCCATACACAGCCTGCGGGCTGGCTACTCCCCACCCCTGGCTTGGAGGGTGCCCAGATGGACAGGTGAGCGAGTGTTTAGTGACAGGTGTGCTGCAGTGTGGCCCGGTCATCTTTTCTAGACTTGTCCTTTACTCCAGTATTAGCTGTGGGCTCACCCTGCCCATCAGCCCTCCCAGCCCCTGGAGAAGCTGTATCAACTTATAGTTCCCCCCGGGAGCTCTGCTGGGTTCTAGGCACTGTCCTTCACACTCTTCATGTGTCCTTGAAACAACCTTGTGAGCCCAGCCACACTGCCCCCACACTGCCACAGCTGGGCAAAGAGAGGCTTAGGGTGGCTAGTAACAGACACCAGGGCAGCCACTAAGCATCAGGGGTGTGTGGCTGGCTGGCGCAGGCTATGGGCCCCCACAAGGTGAGTGTGTCCACCCGCCTGGCCAGGAGCACCCTCCCCAAGATACCTCTCCTCCCCACCCTCAGCAGAAGCTGGGAGGTGGGTGGTTTTGGTGGCCATCTGCCTGCCTTCCAATCCATTTCTCTGCCAAGGCTGCCTGGTACAAATGTTTTGTCATTTGTACAATGAGGCTAATAATAGCCCCTTCCTTATAGGACACCTATGAAGATTAAACTACTTAATACTTTAACAGTACCTAGCACCTACAAGGCATTCAGTAAACACTGACATGAAAGGTTAGCGCGCATAGGAAAAGCCATAGTGTATATAGGGTTTGCTATCTGCGGTTTCAGGCATCCACTGGGGTCTTGGAATGTATGTCCCGGGAGTAAGGAGAGACTACTGTTCACACGTAACTGCGGGAAGGGAGGAGGACCTGCCCCAGATGGGCGCTCCCTGCACCCTCGGGCTCAGCCATGGCTTCAGGCAGCTCCTCCCACAGCCCCCCACCCCAGTCAGGGCTCTGGGTCTCCTCTGGACAGAACAGTGGCCTAGAAATGGTCTGACAGCGTCACTGCACAAGTCGCCACCCACCAAGGCTTCCGCCCTGTCCAGACCCTCTCCGATCCCAGTTTACTCTGTAAAGGGGTCTGCCAGTGCGGATGGCAGGGCTATGGTGAGGAAAATAAGGGGAGCTGAGGAACACCGGGCACACAGCAGGGACATGTTCATTCTCTGCCAGCCATGCCCTGCATTTCGCATACCTGCGTGGAACGGCCTCTCTCTGCCCTGCTGGCCCCTGCCCACCTGTCCTCCTGTCAATGGCCTCCAGGTTTCCTTTGGGCAGGAGGGGTGGCCTGTAAACAACTTCAGTGGCTGCCTGAGCACACCCTGTGCCCCACGTGGCCTGGCCCAGCCACCTCCATGCCTGTGCTCGCTGTGCCTGGGCTCTGATGGCGCCGATCTCCCTTCTGCTTGCTCAGACCAGCTCAGACCCCATAGGACCCTCCTCTGGGGAGACCACAGGCTACCCTGGCCAGAGTCGTCCAGTGGAATTCTCTACAGCAATTAAAAAGAGCCAGATAGTGCTACACGGCAGCATGGAGAAACCTCACAAACTGTAATGTTGGATGAAGCTAGACCAAAACGCATTTATAATTTCATTTATAGAAATAGGTAACTACTCGAAAATAAGCAGACTAAGTGCCTGTTAGAAGCCAGGATAGTGGCTGCCCTTCGGGCGGGTCCCGATGGACAGAGGGGCTTCTGGGCACCGACCAGGCCCTTCTTCTTTTTTTAAATCCTCACCTGGGGACATGCTTAGAGAGAGAGAGAGAGAAACATGAATCGGCTGCCTTTCCCACGTGCCCCAACTGGGAATTGAACCCACAACCTAAGTGTGTGCCCTGACCGGGAATCGAACCGGCACCCTTCCAGTGCATGGGACGACACTCAACCAACTGAGCCACTAGCCGGGCCAGGCCCTGTGTCTTGACCTGGTGCTGCCTCATGGGTGGGCTCGCGACATTGGGCACTTTGCTGCCATGCCGCAGGCACTGCTGGATCCAGCTCTGGTCCCTGCACTCCCGTTAGGAAGGGTGCTACATATATCAGTGCTCCAGTTCACTCACTTAGCGCCTGACTGGTGCTTGTGTGCTTCTTAAATTCTCACCACACCATGTGTGGGTCAGACCATTTTATAGATGAGCAAACTGAGGCTGAGAAAGGCTACAGCCCTTGCCCAAGAGGCCACAACTGGAGAATGGCAGAGCCGCAGGTCCCTATAGATCATCCTCACAGGCTCTTCCTGTCCCCACCTGCCAGTCTGCCTTGCCCCCTCCACGCCCCCAAACCGTTTTGCTGATGTGCCTCGGGTTGGCTGTCCCACAGTGTCGCGTTTCTCCAGCCCACGGGTGACGCCCCGCCTGAGCCGTAAGCGGGCGCTGTCCATCTCCCCGCTGTCGGATGCCAGCCTGGACCTGCAGCGGATGATCCGCACGTCCCCCAACTCCCTGGTGGCCTACATCAACAACTCACGCAGCAGCTCGGCGGCCAGCGGCTCCTACGGGCACCTGTCGGCCGGCACCCTCAGGTGAGCCCAGCCTGCAGGCGCAGGGCCGAGAGTCGGGCGCTGGACTGGGGGCCAAGTAGGGAGGGTCAGCGCTTTCAACCCAAGAAGAGAGACAGGACCTCATGCTCCAAACAATTTCCAGTGTGGAAGTTAAGGGAGGCCTGTCGTGAAAGGTTCCGTCATGAAATCAAAGGTGACCTTCCTAGTATTTCAGCCAGTGTCATGTAGCTGCCGTGTCGCTGACCAGCCTGGGGCCACACAAAGCGTGAGTGACACCGACCTGGGCCATGAGAGTCACTGGCTGGCAGGCCTCCCACGTGGTCACCACATGGCACACCGAAACCTAATCAACGCCATTAGCCCTGGTCCCTCTGTGCCGCCCTTGACTGTTCTGAAGACTCAGACCCCAGCCTACTTGACTGGAACCCATGTGCTTCCCGAGTGTCCCGAGAGAGGCCAGAGGCGTTAGGATGTCAGGAGAGCTCTGCCCAAGGACCCAGAAATAGTGATAACAAGTATATTATTTATCTTTTGCTGCATAACAAATTACTTCTAAACTGAGCAGTTTAAAACAACAGACATTTATCATCTCACCGTCTCTGAGGGTCAGGAAAGTGAGACTGCCTTAGCGTTGGGTCCCCCTGAAGCTGCCGTCACGATGCCAGCCCTGGCTGTAGTCACCTGAAGACTGCTGGGCCTTGGGCTGCATTTCTGAGACCACCCCGTGGCTGTGGGCAGGAGCCCCTCACGCAGGGCAGCCCGTCCCCCTCCCCCACCATCGGAGCCTGATCTGAGGGAGCAAGGAGGTAGCCACAGCTCCGACTCGGGGCATCATTCTTTCTTCAGTGTCTTGCTCTGGAAGGAGTGGCTCAGATGCGAGTGGCAGGACAGTCCTGGGTGAGGGGGCCCTAGAACAGGCTTTAGAGGCCAAATGGGGCTCAAATACAGAGCAGTGACGCAGGGGACACTTCTTAAGTGTCAGGGCAGTGAAGGGCCAGGGTGGGGGTGAGATGGAATCTGGCACCTCCCGGGTCCAACCTGCCAGGGTGAAGGCTGCATCCTCGGGCAGGGCCTGGGGGCTAAGCACGGAAGGAGAGGCCTGAGCTGGAGGCAGTAGGGAGCCACTAGTAGTCCTTGAGTGAGGTAAAACCATGGTGATGGTAAGGTTAGTACATGCCCATCCCAATCCCTGGGCAAGGTCTCTGCCCAGGAAGCGTCAGCCTAACAGAGCCCTGGTCCCCCTCCCCCCAACCCCACTCCACCACCTTATCTGCTCTTCTTTGCAGCCCAGCCTTCACCTTCCCCCATCCCATCAACCCCGTGGCCTACCAGCAGATCCTGAGCCAGCAAAGGGGCCTGGGATCAGCCTTCGGACACACACCACCCCTGATCCAGCCCTCACCCACCTTCCTGGCCCAGCAACCCATGGCCCTCACCTCCATCAACACCACGCCCACCCAGCTCAGCAGTAGCAGCAACTGTCTGAGTGATGCCAGCCAGGTAGGTGTGTGCAGGGAGCAGGGGGCTGGCCACCTGGTGTTCTCCTGGACCCCATGAGGGCTGATGATTGCCCTCTCACACTGGGAACTGTGGGAGGACTCTGGGTGCAGGTCTGGCTGGTGGGGTGCCTTCTGAGCAGCGGCCACATGACTGGCAGGGCCTTGGGCTGGATGCCAGGTTGGTTGGGACACCCAGGCTTGGGCTGGGTGCCAGGTTGATTGGGACACCTAGGTTGGTCCTAACACCACCCCTGGCGTGTGGACAAGCACCCAGCCTCAGTTCTGCAGTCACCTGCCCAGTAAACACAGTAAGTAGATGGAGAAATCCTAGAATTCAGAGTCTGGCGCAGTGTAGGTGCTCCATGCCCAGCATATGGATGGATTAATGGACAGTAATGAATGTGCATTTTAGTTTTAGAGCATGGATTCACCAAAAGCCACCTTTAAAATAATTTTTTAAATTACTGTTTATATTCAATATTATTTTGTATTAGTTTTAGGTGTACAGCAGAGTGGTTAGAAAATCATATACTTACAAAGGGTCCCCCGAATATTTCCAGTACCCACCTGGCACCATACATAGTTGCTACAATATTACTGACTCTACTTCTATGCTGTACTTTACATCCCAGTGACTATTTTGTAACTTCTCAATCCCTTCCCCGTTTTCTCCCAGTCCCCTCTGGCAACCATCAGTCTGTTCTCTATGCTATGAGTCTCTCAGTTTTGTTTGTTCATATATTTTGTTCCCCCAAGGTCATCTTATTTGACCTTTCCGGTGGGCGTTTGACACGCCTGGGCGTGTTCACACGTGCCTGGCACACAGCAGGTGCCACTAGTGTTTAGTGAAGGAAGGAAGTCCTGTTTTGCAGATGAGGAAATGGAGGGGTAGGGACAGCGTCTGATCATGGAGAGGGCACGGGCTTTGGCATCAGTCAGACGTGCTTTGGGCCCTGACTTGCCTGAAACCTTTTGCGGCCTGAGCTGACGCATCTGCAAAGTGGGGCCTGCCCCTCACATTGGGTCACTGTGTGTACACGAGCCCATGTGTGCAGAGCCCCGTGTAGACCCGGATCCTGGTTAGCACTTACAGTGACAGTTCTTGAGGTGAAGTGACTGGCCAGGCACCCGCCCGGCAGAGCCTAGGTGTGACCAAGTGCTGGGGAGGGAGACCAGACACAACTTTCTTCCGGAATGTCCTCCTTCTCTACCCCAGGGCTCCACGCCACCACCGAGTGGGTCCCCCGGACAGGATCGTGGGTTTTAGCCACACCACCTGATGCCGCAGCTCCAGCTCCCGCGTCCTGAGGCCCCAGCCCTTCTCTTGCTCCCTGGGCTGCCAGGCCCTGTTCTCAGACCCAGAGCCGCTGCTCTGGGGGCTGAGGAGTTGAAGCTGCCGGGCCAGGAGGGAGAGTGCCCAGCCTTTCCCAAAGAGGCGTCTGTTCCATTCTTGTGGATGGTGGTGGGGAAGGTGCTGACAGGCTGAGCTCTGGGCTCTCTCCTGGCCCTGCCCCTGGCTGGAGGACTCGGTTTCTCAAACTTCAGCACAAGGGTTGGCCCAGTTAGTCTGTGTGGGGAGGGTCCCAGAGGTTTGAGGTGTCCCTGCCCCGCCCCCTAGTGACAGGCTCTCCTTGCTCCCTCCTCAGAACAAGCAGAGCAGCGAGTCGGCTGTGAGCAGCACCGTCAACCCCATCGTCATTCATAAGCGCAGCAAGGTCAAGACGGAGGCCGAGGGCCTGCGACCAGCCTCCCCGTTGACCCTGACACAGGTAACTGCCGCCATCCTCACATCTTCAGGCGGGTCAGCTAACTTGGGACTGAGGCCCTGCTGGTGAATGGATGGACAGATGCTGCCGCATGAACGAATGAGCAAATAAGTGAACCAGTGGGGGGGTGATGGATGGATCATGAGCTCGGGGGGGACCAGGGCCGTGTCTCCAGCACCCTGCACATTACATAGTCACCAAACACATACTGAACAGCCTGGCCCGAGTGCCTTAGTTGGTTGCGCCAAAAGGTTGCTGGTTTGGTTCCTGGTCAGGGCACATACCTGGGTTTCGGGTTCCATCCTTGGTCATCTCGGGGTGCATATGGGAGACAACTCTCTCTCCCCCGTCCCTAACATGTCCTAAGAATGAGTGAGTGAGTGAATGAATGAATGTACATCTGGAGCTGCAGCTGTCTCTCCCCCCACCACACACATCTCATCCTCATAAAGCACAAGCCCCAGTCAAACTGAGTTTCTCATGTCCCCTGAATGGCTCAGACTCCTGTCCAGTTGCTCCCTCCTCCTGGAATTCTGTCTCCCAATCTGTCCCTTCCTGACCTTCCCAGATAATGGGACTTGCAGCTGCTCAGATGCGCATCCTAGCCTCTGGATCGCGTTGTCTGCCCCCCACACTGTTCTGTGAGCTTGGAGAGATGGTACTTTGGGAGAAGTGTTTCAGTTCCATGTCACCAGGGTTTACACTAGGGTTTGCCCCGGGCCTGGTGCACGGTAACTGGGAAATCATATTTTCTGAGGACTCGATGCGCATTTGAGGAAATGAGTGGTGTGGTGAGGGGAAGGAAGGGAAGAGGATTCTTCATAGGAAGGTGAGGAACGGAGCAGTCCACAACCCAGGACGGCCTGTTGTGGGTTGAGACCCTTGTGCAGGTCCCTGGGGAGATTCTGCCCCTTATTCCGATACTCTGAGACGACACACAGACAGCCCCAGCTTCGTAGCAGAGGCTTTGGTGGGAAGGGCTCAGTGTGAGTGCTGACCTTGCAGACAAGCCTCCTGCCCCCAGGCCTCTCACGGTGGCCTGGCCTCCATCTGTTACTATACTGTCACCAGCTCTGACACCAGCGATGCTCAGGGCTTCCTGTCCCTGTCTCCCCTGCATGTCACGCCATACTTCATGAGACCTGTAAACCATCGGGCATGCTCTGGGCACTTGATTTTTATGAAATATTGGATTCTCTTACTGTCAGGCAAACAGAGGGGCTGGTGACAAATTCTTCTCCCCTCGCTGACGCCAAAGCCTCTCAGCATGATGCGTGGTTTCCACGGGGCTGGCCCTCATCGGGGCTGTGGAAATTGATGAGGGCGACGCACATCCCAGGGGGATGAAAAGGCAGGGGCAGAGAGGATGGGCGGAGGCCACACAGCACAGGGAGCCCCCTGCCCAGCCCCTTCCAGCCAGGGCCCCACAAAGCCTTCTTTCCTGCCCAGCTGGGCTCCTCATTTGTGTCAGGGGAAGGAAAGCCATTTATCATGAGGAGACTGTCACCGTGTCACTCTGTCCTGATTCAGTAACCGGACTCCTCCCAGGTGGGTGGGCATGCTCTCCCTTGGCAGAAAATGCAACTCAGTGACACCCTTCCCTGCCTGAGCCCTAACCTTGTGGGCTAGGAAGACACCCAGCTAGATCCGGAGGCCTGCGCACCCGCCACCCTGCACAGTCCTGCACACGTGTGTCTGTCTGTAGCCTCTCTGGGTCTCTAGAATCAATAGGGCATGAAGCTTATGGAAATAAGTCCATGTGCAGTTTTCCTGTGAGTGCAGAGTGGGCGTCAGGAGGCCCTGCCCAGCCCTCCCATCTCTAAGGAATTGGGCAGGGGCATTTGTGCAACTTGGTTTAATGTGCCCCAGTGCTGCCTGGGGACTTCTTCCACAGCATGTTGCTTTCCTTTTCAGAACACGTGCATTAATTGAAAGGTGCATCCACAAACAACTGGAGGCTTCTCTTGCAGGAGCCCTTNATCTCTAAGGAATTGGGCAGGGGCATTTGTGCAACTTGGTTTAATGTGCCCCAGTGCTGCCTGGGGACTTCTTCCACAGCATGTTGCTTTCCTTTTCAGAACACGTGCATTAATTGAAAGGTGCATCCACAAACGACGGGAGGCTTCTCTTGCAGGAGCCCTTCCAGCTCCACAGAAAGTCAGTCAGGAGGGCTGGTCCAGCCGGCACGGGGGGTCATGGTACAGATGCTGACGCCGACCCTAGAAACGGATGTGTCAGGAGTGAGGCTGACCTAGGAGCTGCAGCCCCGCTTTACTGAGTGTCTGGAGCCTGTGGGGGCTTGTGGCTGTGGGAAGAGTTGCCTCCCTTAGCCTGAGCTATAAATGTTACCCCAGAGGCTATTTCAAAAGACAGGACATTTGTGCCACTTGTAGGTAGCCTGAAATGTAAAACGAGTCATTCAGACGTCTGCTTCTTTGCCTGGCTCTGCTCTGAGCCTGCCTAGCAGGCCAGTGGAATATTGGGGTTCTCCACATCCTCTGGAGGTCCTCCTGGGCCTTCATCCCAACCTTCGCCAGCGCCTGTTTCCTCCCAACCTGTCCCCAGGTTCCCTGCTCGGAGGCTTCCCCTGGCCAGCTCTGAGTCAGCATTAGCTGGGGCGAGGTGGCCCTGGTGTATTCTCAGTCTGTTGCTGGTTTTGGAGTAAAAAGTTTTGTCCTTTTGAATCAAGCATCTGTGATCAGGTGGAGGTCTGTCTCAGGGGCCTTTCCTTTGCACCCTGAAATGGGCACATGTGGGTTCTTCGTGCTCAGGAAACTGGAGTCCAGCCTAGGCCNCTTTTGAATCAAGCATCTGTGATCAGGTGGAGGTCTGTCTCAGGGGCCTTTCCTTTGCACCCTGAAATGGGCACATGTGGGTTCTTCGTGCTCAGGAGACGAGTCCAGCCTAGGCTTCCACACGCTCACTGTGTGTCCTGGGGAAGATCAGTCAGCCCCGCCCTGAGCCTGCTTTTCTAGCTGTACTTCAGGAATACAAGCGCCCGCCCGGCCACTGTGGCTCGGTTGCGTATCAACCTGTGTGCACCAAGAGGTGGCTGGTTCGATTCCCAGTCAGGGCACATGCCCGAGTTTCAGGCTCAGCCCCAGTAGGGGGCCTGCAGGAGGCTGCCTATCAATGTTTCTCTCTCACNGTCAGGGCACATGCCCGAGTTTCAGGCTCAGCCCCAGTAGGGGGCCTGCAGGAGGCTTCCCATCGATGTTTCTCTCTCACTGATGTTTCTATCTCTCTTGCTCTCCTTTCCTCTCTCTCTAAAATCAATAAAAACATTTTTTTAAAAAAAGACTACAAGTNATCTCTCTCCCTCTCCTTTCCTCTCTCTAAAATCAATAAAAACATTTTTTTTAGAAGACTACAAGCGCCACATTGCAGGGCTGTTACACAGAAGGCTGCTGCTGGGAGGATATGCCAGGCACTTTCTGNCTCCCTCTCCTTTCCTCTCTCTAAAATCAATAAAAACATTTTTTTTAGAAGACTACAAGCGCCACATTGCAGGGCTGTTACACAGAAGGCTGCTGCTGGGAGGATATGCCAGGCACTTTCACCCAGCGGAGCACCGTGCTGGGTGTGAACCCAAGTGTGCTGTGTGCCCTGGGAGGAGGGGACAATACGAGAGTGAGAGGTCTGCAGGTCCAGGCCAGATGCCTGTTGGGTTCCTCTCACCTCCATGGAGGAACAGATCCTATCACTAAAAATGCCCCACCCTGAGCCTGTGGGGCCCACCCGCTCCCCCCAGGGGAAACCAAATAGCCAAAGTTGCTGCCTGCTCTCTCCTGTTCTCCTTGCCAGGTCATTTGACTCAGGATGTGATGAGATACCTTGGTGGTGACAACTGGCATTAGAGAGAAGGGAGGGGCCTCAGAACGGCTGAGTGATGGGAGAGTGATGGGTAGGAGCCAGCTCAGGAAAGGGGCTGAGAAAGCTGATGAGCGTGTGTGTGCGTGTGTGTGCGTGTGTGTGTGTGTGTGTGTGTGTGCACCTGTACAGCCCAGGGTCGTTGGCACAGGCTGCCCAGAGCTAACAGCAGCCTTTGCTGGACAAGGCTCAGTGAGTGTCTGCTCCTTCCCCAGGAGCAGCTGGCTGACCTCAAGGAGGACCTGGACAGGGACGACTGTAAGCAGGAGGCCGAGGTGGTCGTCTACGAGACCAACTGCCACTGGGAAGACTGCACCAAGGAGTATGACACGCAGGAGCAGCTGGTGCATGTAAGCCTTCCGAGCCCCAGTGGCCTGCCCAATGGGCAGAGCCTAGGTCACGGAGCCCCCAGCCTTCCAGGCCCTCCGATGGAGAGAAAGAGCTGGAGGGGAGACTCTCAGAGATGCCTGGGCCATATCCTCTGCAAGTGGGAAGCATGATTATTTTTCTATGCCCTGTTTCTAAAAGAGGGCTTACAAATACATACGTAGTACAAGAGATTAGAAGAAAAATAAGAAAACAAGACGATTACGGGGAAGTGAAGAATAAAATGAAGTCAGGAGCCAAGTTAGTATGCCAAACCAAGTCCTCTCAGCTACAGTTCACATGTAAATCTTTTTTCTGAGATTCCTAGCAACCAATGCAAAGAAGGAAATAAGATTAGTTAAACCAGCCTGTACGCACAGGATAATAACAAACCTGACCCTGAAACCTGAAGGAGGTTTCTCCCTGGAGGAAGGAGTTGGTAATTTCCTCTCGGACACCATTCATAGAGACCCGGTAGCCACAGGTGAGATGGGTGTTTCCACCCAGATCAGAGAGGGAGCTGCTTAAACATGCCTGGGTACTGACAGATCAGGAGGCCAGAGAAGGCCATGGGAGCGGTATGCCTCTTGCCTTGGTCCCCACCGTGAACTCTTCGATGGGGGCATCGCTGTGGTGGCTTTCGGGGAAGTCTGTGCAGTGGGAGGAGCAGGAGCGAGCTCAGAGTCAGAGGCACCGGCTTCCATCCTGGCTCCACCACAGCCGGCCGAGTTCTGGACAAGTGACTCAGCCTCCGTGGGCCTCAGCTCTTCCTCCTGTGTAGGGGGTGAGCCCTGCTCCACAGCGCCATGGAGGCCGAGTATGATCCCAGCGTAAGCACTCAGCAGAGAGCAGCTTTCCCTGCCTGGCCGCCCCTCTGCCCCTCGCTGTTCCTCACCAGCCCCGAGCACTTCTCTCCTTCATCCAGAAAAGAACTTAAATTCAAGAGCAAGCCCCCCTCACACCTGTCCCAGCGCACGCTCGGTGAACGAGTGTCTGTAAAGATGAGCACGCTCTGAGCGGGGAGCGGTGCTGGGGAGCCGCACACGGGCCCGCACACAGGCCCGCACACGCACGTGCGCACTGCTCGGCCGGAGCCGTCCTGAGTTTCCTCCCCCCAGCACCGTGTGCTCAGCATCAGAGCACCGTCCACTCCCTCCGCTTCCTCCACCTGTGCCACTTGCCCTCAAATACTGTAGGTTTCTCTTCTTTTTGGGTTTTGCTTCCCACATTCTCAGCCAGGAGACAAATTTCCCAGCAAATGTTATCACAGCTGACACAGAGCCTGTGGCAGAGTCTTATCTAATCCCCCTCTGGGTCAGCGAGTCCGAGCTGGAGAAAGGGCATGGGAGCTGTGCGTTATAGGACAGGTCAGACTCGATTAGAGGAAGAGGGGGCAACGTCCGGGCCTGGCAGAGGGCCTGGGCGGAGGGTGGAGACCAGCACTGAAAAGGTGCGCTCAGTACCAGGTGGGTCGGCCCCGAAGGGCAAGGAGGGATTCCTCAAATGAAGGCACTAGGGTCCAGGTGTGGGAAGGAGGGCTTCAGCTGCAGGCTCCTACCTGTACCAGGACGGCCCCTGTGGCTGGAGGTGGTCGCCTCCAGCTGGCCCTGGGAAGAGCAGGCTCCTGGGAGAGGGCAGCCGGGTCCTCTGCCCAGCTCTGTCTCCGCTTCCCAGGAAGATGGATGGCAGCAGGCACACAGGCGAGCTGGAGCCCCCAGTCGATTATGAACAATTTGTTGCTAAGTAAACCAATAAGAAAAAATGAAAGGCATTGTCAGGATGCATTTCTATCATTTGAAAGGCTTTAAAAATGGAAAGTGGGGCTAATATGATAAGGTTTCCCTGGACGTTCAAAGCTCTGTAGGTTCACTGGCAGCGGCGCTGGTGTCTGCCTGCGTGACCGCTGGGCCTGTTGCTCAGGCACGAGTAACCCTGCCTTCAGAGTGAGGGGCTGCAGTGCCTCCGTCCAGCTCTCAGACAGCCTTGCAGGTTGCGAAGACCCACAGCAGCATTGCCCAGTAAAAAGACACTGCAGGCCACAGATGCCAGCCGCTCGTTGCACTTTACTTATGTAGGAGCACATGTAATAGAGAGTGAAAGGAAACAGGTGAAATTAATTTTAATGATGTATTTTATTTAACCCAGTATATCTAAAATGTTACCATTTCAACATGTAATCCATATAAAACAAAATTATTGAAACACTTTCCATCCCTTATTTTTTCATTCTGAGTGTTTGAAACAGGTGTGTTCACACTTCCAGCCCATCCTAGCTGGGAGCAGCCACATTTCAAGGGCTGAAAGCACACGTGGCGAGTGGCTGCTGCACTGGGCGGTGCAGGTCTAGAGGCTGTGTGGGGGTGGGGTGAGTGAAAGCTAGCTGAGCTGAGAACCCAGAGAAGAAAGGGGCTGGGGCTGGAGAGAAGGGGCCTCCAAGACCTGACGTTCCACCTTCCCCCTCTCCTTGAGGGGACGTAGGCCCAGCCTGACTTCCATACAGCAGGACATGACCTCTAACTGAAAGGGAGATGGAAGGGGAAGGATGAGGCCTTGATGGGACCTACGGGGGCTCCTTGGTGGCCTTTAGAGAGCAGCCCCAGTGTGAGGGAAGCAGGAGAACCAGTGTTTTATATGGATTACTACCATGTGAGGCACTGATACCACCTGTTTGTACTCCCCAGGTAAATAAGCAACTCAAAAGATTAGGGACTTAAAAGTCCCGGAGGCCCCACACACATAGCACATCCCAATCTCAGAGGTAGTAATACCCCTGCTTCAGTGAGGACTGCAGCCTGCAGCTAAATAGTCAAAGCAAGTGACTAAACTCCCAAGGCTCTGCGCAGGCCCGCTTGCTGTGTTACCTGTACAGAAAGCCTCGGTGGCCTGTGGCTCCCACATCGCAGCAGAAACTACTCTGGGAGTCATCCAGGCGATGAGGCCAGGGCAGAGGCCAGGTATGGGTGCAGGGACTGGGAGAAAGAGAAAAGTTAGAGTTAGCCCCTGTTCCTGTCCAGGGCAGTGCTGGCTAAGACAGCCCGAGGGCCCCTCCAGGGGAGGCTGCATGCCACGCACTACCCGATTCACCCGAGATGGGCCCGTGTGCTGGCAGCCTGCTGGCAGCTGGGCTCCCTGGGCAGTGCGGCCGGGTCAACCCTGTTCCCTTCAGCTGCTCTGCTCACTCTCCTGGGCTGTTTTGTCCCAGGGGCAGTGTCACACTGAACCCTCTGGCAGGGTCAGAATCTCACTCTTCCCCTACTTACTGCTGGGCCACACTTACTGCAGCCACTTAACAAGCTGGGCCTTTGTGAAAAGGGGACAAAGCCATCATCTTGCGGGTTATTATCAAAAATAGAGACTAGGATGCATTTACGTTTCCATTACAATAAAAAATTAATTTAAAAATTTGGAACAATAGGGACAAGCTCGGGCGAGGCTTCTCGTGTGGCCCCTATGTGCATGTCCGCCTCATGGCAGTTAATTAGTGCCTACTGTTTGCAGCCTGGGAGCATCGTCGTAACTGCCAGTTCTCCATAGACGGGAGTCTGGAGCCCAGCCCGGGGTGGGCGGGACACCTTTGGCCATCTTAGACGGTCCCTTTGACGACTAATTGGAAAATGCAGCCCAGACATTGGCACAGTAGATTTTCGCTTAGCGGCCACTAATGACAACTCCAGAGGAGGCGCGGCTGGGCGGGTGATCTGCACGAGCGGGTGACGGTCTTTGGGGTGGTCTGCATGCACCAGGTGGGGTCTGGAGTGGGTGGCCGGGCTCACCCCCTCTGTGGGCTTGTTCCGGCAGCACATCAACAACGAGCACATCCACGGGGAGAAGAAGGAGTTCGTGTGCCGCTGGCAGGCCTGCACGCGGGAGCAGAAGCCCTTCAAGGCACAGTACATGCTGGTGGTGCACATGCGCCGGCACACGGGCGAGAAGCCCCACAAGTGCACGGTGAGTGCCCATCTGCAGGCCACCCGGCACCCAGGGGCGCGGGCTGTGTTAGATGCGGTTGAGCACAGGGAACCTGGGGACAACGGGCCACAGCAGCTGGTCTGGGCCAGCCCAGGCCCACGGGCCACCCTCTCTCCTCCTGACCTGGGCCTCTGTCTGTCTTGGTCCTTGAAGCCCCCCACCTACCTGTAGTCCCAGAACTTTGATTCTCTCAGAGTGTGTACTTGCAGTAGGAGTGTGCTGGTGTCTCTGTGGTTACTATTTCTGTGTGACTGCAAACCTCAAAGCACAGCTGTACCCCCCCAGTTCCCGGGTCTGGTGACCCCAGACTGAGGGGCTGGCTTGGCAGCCACCTGCAGCTGCTCCCTGGCACAAAGAAAGGCCTCACTGGCGAGTCACAGCGTGAGCAATGAGGGGTTAAAAATCTGTTTTTTGTTGTTTTTTTAAGTGAACACAAATATAAGACCTTTTAGACAGCCTCCCTTATGGAGTGAACAGGATCTATAATTGGTGAGACTTTTTTTAACACACAGAAATCACCCCCTCTTTAAGAGGGGAGTTGGGCCAGTGAGGCCCTGATGAGTCTACAGCTGGAACCCTGGTAGCTCCTCTCCGTGATTTGCCCCATTCCATAGATTCCGAGGCATACACTGTATTCTCATTTTAATACTTCTGGAATCAGGCTGTCTTAAGATTGGTGGTGTCCAGGGTTCAATGAAATATGTTACCTTTGTTGGCAAGTTATGTTTTTAATTGAAATAAAATTCACATACTATAAAGTTTACCATTTTTTTAAAATGTCCAATTCAGTGATTTTTAGTGTATTCACAAGTTGTGAATCATGCTAATTCCAGAGCGTTTTCATCACCCCAGATCAAAGCCCCAGACCTGTTTGCAGTCACTTCCTGTCCTCCCCCCCTTCCTGACAGCCACTAATCTGCTTCCTATCCCTGAGTTTGCCTTCTCCAGGCAGCTAATAGAAATGAAATCAAACCATGTGTAGCCTTTGTGTCTGGCTTTGTTCACTTATCTATTTTTTAGGTTCATCCGTGTTGTAGCATGTGTCAGTACTTCATTTCTTTATATCATGGCTAAATTATATTCCATTGTATGGATAGATACTAGTTTTTTAACTCATCAGTTGATGGATACTTTCATTGTTTTTACTTCTCGGCTATTATGAATATGCTGCTATGAGCATTTGTTACAAGTTTTTGTATGGACTTGTTTTCAGTTCTCTTGTGTATATGCCTGGAGTAGAACTGCTGGGTCACATGGTAACTCTTATGTTTAACTTTTCAAGGACCAGCCAGACTGATTTCCACAAAGGCTGCTGCACTGTTTACATTCCCACCAGCAATGCATGAGGTTCTGATTTCTCCATGTCCTTGTCACCACTGCTACCTGTCTTGATTACAGTCATCACAGTGGACGTGCAGTGACATCCCGTTACAATTTTGATTAGCATTTCCCTAATGACTGACGATGTTGAGTGTCTTCTCATGTGCTTACTGGCCTCTTAATATATCTTTTTTGGAGAAATGTCTACTCAAATATTTTGCCCATTTTAAAATTATTTTTCTTTTTATTGCTGAATTGTTCTCTAGACCTTTATCAGATACATGATTAGCTAATATTTTCTCCCATCCTGTGGGTTTTCTTTTCATTTTCCTGATAGTTTCCTTTGAAGCACAAAGTTTTTAATTTTGACAAAGTCCAGTGTTTTAATTGCTTGTGCTTTTAGTGTCATATTTGAGAAACCATTGCCTAATTCAAGGTCACAAAGACTCACCCCTATGTTTTCTTCTTTGAGGTTTATAAATGTATAGTTTGATTTATATAAATATAAACATTATATATGTTTATATGGGGTGGGGCAAAAGTAGGTTTACAGTTGTGAATACACGAAAGTTTATTCTTGTATTATTATTTATTCATTACTGTGTTATTTTCCGTACGAACAACTGTAAACCTGCTTTGTCCCACCCTGTATATAGCGTTATAGGGTAGCTCTTCCATTTAGGTCTTTAATCCATTTTTATTTCATTTTTGTACATGGTGTGAGGTGAGGGTCCAACTTCATTCTTTTGCATGTGGATATGCAGGTGTCCTAATCCCATTTGTTGAAGAGACTGTTCTTTCCCCTTGGCCGGCCTTGGCACCCTTGCTGAAATTCTGCTGGCCCTAAATGTATGAGCTCATTTCTGAACTTTCACTTCTGTTCCATTGATCTCTGTGTCCTTATGCCAGTACTACACCGTCTTCACTGTCACAGTTTTATAGTAAGTTTTGAAATTGGGAGGTGTCAGTCCTCCAAATTAGGCCTCCTTTTATAAGATTGTGTTGGCTCCTGTGTCCTTTGCAGGAAGTTATTTTCTTAACATTTTAAGTGTAGCAAACCGTCTTCCTTTGACATGAGCCATGAGTTGCAGAAACAGATCACAGGCATTTGGAGCCACGTGTGCTCAGACTGGTCAGAAATAAAGGGGCAGATGCAGGGAATGAGACGGTTCCTGTGGGGTTTACCTGTCGTTCTGAGGTCAGTTCTCACAGGTACATAGGATGCCACTGCAGGGTCTCTAAGTGCACACTCCTGGTGCAGAGCCTCCTGCAGTGGTCCTCCCTCCCTCCCTCCCTCCCTGCTGCTCTCTCTTGCTCCTTCCTTCCCCAAAATGCTCCTTTTCATCTGGCACTGAACACTAGGAACGCAGAAATGAACAAGACCTAAAAGGTACCTGTTCTCATTGAGCTTGTATCCTAATGGGAAGGCCACGTAACAGAACGATTGAGATCATTATAAATTGTGCTAGGGAGAATTAAGGGGGAAGGGTAGTTATTGTGATTAAGAATATCAGAGAAATGCTCTCAGAGGAGACGACTTAAAGATTGAGAAGGAGTGAGCTACTCCAATGCCAAGGTGGGTGGAGGCAGGGGAAAGGGTCTGGTCAAAGGAGACTGTGTGTGCAAAGGCCCCGGCCTGGAAGAATTCAGTGGGGTCAAGGAATAGACATCGGGGTGGCCAGAGTGAGGGTGAGCGTGACCGGCTCACTCAAGGCCATGGAGAACTCGATTTTATTCTTAGCACATTTAGATACACAGAAAGTTCTAACCAGGGAGGGGCATTGCGAAATAGTTAAAAATAACATTTCCAAAGAGTTTGTAATGATGTCCTCACAATGTGCTCTTGATTTTAACAAGCAGAAAAACATAACTGAATAATTGCTGTGTTCCCAATTACGGTTTTAAAAAGAATGTGTGGAGATGAATTGCAGCGTCAGCAGAATGAGACTTAGCTGGATGCCAGCGGTGGCTGTCCCTGGGCAGGCCGTGGCTGTCATTTCCCTCTCCACTTCTCAGTCCTTTCCAAGTTTTCCAGAAATGCCATGTGTCAATTTTCTAATCAGAAAGGAAGGAAAATGTTACTGTTGAAGTGCACACTCCTGGCGGCCCTGGCAGGTGGAGCAGACAAGGGCTGGGGAGGAAGCCGTGTGGCCCAAGGCCAGGCTCCTGCACTGGGTCCAGGGCACCCTCACTGACCACACCCGCCTCCTCCCAGTTTGAAGGCTGCTCGAAGGCTTACTCTCGCCTGGAGAACCTGAAGACACACCTGCGGTCGCACACCGGGGAGAAGCCGTACGTGTGTGAGCACGAGGGCTGCAACAAGGCCTTCTCCAACGCCTCGGACCGTGCCAAGCACCAGAACCGCACGCACTCCAACGAGGTACCCGCGGGCGCGCACGTGGGCCCCATGTGTAAATGCATCGCCCCATGGCTTCTAGGCGACTGGATGCCAGGTGCCCTCCCCACCGCTGACCCGTGGCAGCTCAGCACAGGGCAGCAGCCCCCACCACGGCCTGGCTGCTGGTGAGGACACGCTCCACCCGCTAGTGCTGCGGTCCTGCTCCGTAGCCAGAGCCCCGGTGAGGCTGAGAACGCCCACGTGGGGAAGTCGGCGGGAGCCCATGGTGTCCGCTGTACCCACCTCCTAGTCCCTGCCCAGCCCATCAAATACTGTCACTCGGGGAGACTCGGGAAAGAGCATTTCTAAAAGCTTAGGTAAATTTTGGACCCCAAAGGGACTTGCTCCAATGCTTATAAAAAGTTAGAGGGATTCCCAAAGGCAACTGAACCCTTCAGTCTCTACAGACAAGCTGACCTTGAAGGGGGGGGGGCTGTGTATGTGTATATGTTAATATGTTATGCATGTGGGTGTGGATGTACATGTGTATGTATTATGTGTGGGGAGAAATATGCATGTGAATTTATAAATATGTACACATGTGGCTCTGCATGTTTGTATGTGTCTACATGCACATGTAAGCATGCATACTCGTGTATGTGTGTGCCTATATGCATGGGGTATATATCTGCATGTAGACGTGTGTAAGCATGTATACTCATGTGCATGTGTGCATCTGCATGCCTGTATGCATTGGGTATGTGTCTGCATGTAGATGTATGTGTACACATGTGGATGTGCATGTACATGTGTGGGTGTGGGGGGTGTATGTACATGAAGCTCAGGACTGAGCTTTAGAAACCCTGGGTTTACATCCTGTTCCTGGGTGACTCTGAGCAGTGTCTTTGCCACTCTGAACCTGCCTTTTCCTCATTAGAGAGCTGGGGGTGCTAGCGCTGCCTCACAGGTGTAACACTCACTACTGATGTCAAAACCCAGCGCCCTGGTCACGGGGGAGGCAGCATTATGATCATACCAGGCCCTGTGTCCTCCCTCCCGCCACAGTCTCTCCTCTGTCCCCAGCTTGTGGCGGGGGCTCCCTTAACCACGTGCTTACCTGCCAGGAATGGTGGCAGACAGGCTGGCAGGGCAGGCCCCTTCCACCCAGAGGGCATGACTGCAAACAGGGGGAGCACCTTCCAACTGTGCCAGGCAGGGTCTGCAAAGCAGGTGGCGTGGCTTCAGAAGCGTGGGAGGGCACCCGTCCCGAGTTTGCCTTCGTGGCCCATCCATAAGGCCGCCTGCTCTTCTTCCCAGAAACCTTATATATGCAAGATCCCAGGCTGCACCAAGCGGTACACGGACCCCAGCTCTCTCCGGAAGCACGTGAAAACAGTGCACGGCCCGGATGCCCACGTCACCAAGAAGCAGCGCCACGACCTGCACCTCCGGGCCCCATTGCTCAAGGGGGACGGGGACAGTGAGGCCAACACGGAGCCGGGCGGCCAGGGCTCTGAGGAGCGCCCCGAGGCCAGCAGCACCAGCCAGGCCGCAGAGGACTGCCTGCACGTCACGGCCATCAAGACCGAGAGCTCCGGGGTAAGCAGAGAGGGGCAGGGGCGGCCCGGGCCCCCAGGAAGCCAAGCCCAGCGGGCCAGGCCATTCCGTAGTGCTACTGTGGTCCAGAGCCTCCACTGCAGCTGTGGCCCTACCCTGGGCCCCTCCCCAGGCATGCCACATTGTCCCTCCTTTCTCCAGCTGGACTTTCTTCCCTTTGCCCCATGGGCCTCTCAGAAGCTCTCTTGTGGCAGGTCCTGTTCTGCTGGGCAGGCTGTGGGCACAGGGAGTGCCCGCCCCTTCAAGGCCAGTCTGCAAGGGGGCAGGGGTGGTTCCTGATGTCCACCTTTCTAACCAACACCAGAGCCGCATCAGGCTCCCTCCCCTCTGTCCTGTCTGCACCCTCACCCCTCTGACCTCTACTCCTTTTGTGCTAACCACCTGTTCTTTGTCTCTACCTCTTTTCCCGACTGTACCTCCCCTAAGGATAGACGTTACTGAGGTGAGCAGAGAAGCCGGTGGGGGTGTGGGCAGGCTGGCATGAGTGAGGGTGGGCTGGGTGCCTGTCCAGGACACGGGAAGGTGGGTTTGGATGGGTAGATGGCAGGCACTGCAGGTGGCACTGCAGAACAGGCCACAGCTGACAGCAAGAGTCAAGCTAACCAGGTGCAGGAACAAGCGGTGGGGACCAAGCCCGCAGAAGGGATAGGGCAGAGTGGAGGTGTGGGTTAGGGCTGCAGAGGACAGAGGACTGATGTACAGGTGTTGAGTGCCAGAGTAAGGAACATGAGTGCTGTCATGGACAGGATGGAGCTTTGCAGCTTCTGAAAAAAAGGTCCAGAATTTGGGAGCAATCAGCCTATAAATGAGCCCAGAGGTGCCACATTTAGGGTGAGCCTCATTGGGGCTCAGAGTCCAGGTTCCATGGGGTTCTGCTCGGCACACACGTGCCATGAGCTCCCAGCCCCTCTGCCCCAACCCAGAGCCAGGACTGATTTGATCAGCGGTTCCACCTCCCTGTCCTTCCCCTTTCTAACACCCTCCCTCTGGCCTGTCGGGAAGGCAGGAGTCAGCAGCATTCAGTTCTTGGCTTCATGGCAGTTGTTGCGAATGCTTAAGTACCTCTTTCATGTCAACTTCCTGTGGCTTGGGCAGCTTCCATGGGGCACAGCTTTGAAGTGTCCACATGTTGAAAGCTCACCAGGCAGGACTCCGACCTGGACACTGGTTGGGAGAGCTTAGAGCACAGGGTGGGGTCAAGGGGGCTGACAGTTGCTGGGTGTCTTCTACATGCTGACCACCCATTCTGCCCATCCACTAACTCTGCCCTGAAGGCAGTTCAGGTCCATCTTATAGTTGGGAGAAGCCAAGGCTTCTCCACAGGGCAGCTTCCTTCCTCCCCTGGGTGTGCAAGGGTGCGTTGTGGGTGCAGGCATGGGTGCGGGGCCAGGTGGATGCTCACACCTCTGAGTCTGACCTTTTCACCACATCTCTACAGCTGTGTCAATCCAGCCCCGGGGCCCAGTCGTCCTGCAGCAGTGAGCCCTCTCCCTTGGGCAGTGCCCCCAACAATGACAGTGGTGTGGACATGCCGGGGACAGGGCCTGGAAGCTTGGGAGATCTGACAGCTCTGGATGACACGCCCCCAGGGGCTGACACCTCAGCCCTGGCTGCCCCTTCTGCTGGCAGCCTGCAGCTGCGCCAACACATGACCGCCATGCACCGGTTAGAGCAGCTCAAGAAGGAGAAGCTCAAGTCACTTAAAGATTCCTGCTCGTGGACTGGGCCAGCTCCACACACCCGGAACACCAAGCTGCCTCCCCTCCCGGGAAATGGTGAGTGCAGGTGCTGGTGTGTGGGCTGGGGAGGGACTGAGCCTGGGGCAGCACCATGTGCCCACTCACTGGATGACCACAGTAGGATGAATCTTATCCACCATTGCAGACTAGGAAACAGGCTTAGAGAGGTGAAAATGCCTCACTTAAAGCAATGGCAGAGCTGAGACTTTTTAGCCCAGGCCTGAGTGGCTGCAAAGCCCACGCTCTTTCAACTACACCATGCTGCACCCTGTAACCCCCTAAAAACAAGCACACCCTTCTCACATCATCCCCTTCCTCACGAGTCATTCAGTCACTTATTAGGCACCTGCTGTGAGCACCGCAGCAAAGGCCCTGGGCAGGAGTGATAGCATCCCATGGTCCCCGTGGTTAGAAGGAGCATACAGTGAGAAGGCCAGTCACCCTCAGAGTTAGCCAAAGAGCACTGAGGTAGAGCTGTGCGGAGGAGGGAGAAATCATGTCCACTGGGGAAGGGCAGGGAGGACTGCATGTAGGAGGCAGCCCCGTGTTCAGCCTCAAGAGGTGTTGCCCAAGCTTTGAGATGGAAAGCAGTTTCACCAAGCATTTCTCGGGTGCTGCCCCTGTGCTGGGCAGTGCACCGGGCACACTGGGCTGCCCTCCAGGGACTGACAGTGTGGACCATAGGACTAGGTTACTGAGACGAACACTGGGATGTGCCACCCAGCTCTTCCCTGAAGGGAGGACTTGGCTCAGCTGTAGAGGGAACTGCTAGCAGATGGTCTTCAACTCTGCCTCCTAGAGATCCCTGGGCAGCTGACAGCTGCCTCACCCAAGGTCACCCCTTCCTGGGGTGGCCTCTGTCCACTGCTGATCACTGCAAAGTGTAATGGCTGTTCCAGGCCCAGAGCTCCCTCGAAGCAGCCAAGGCTGCTGTTGGGCCCGTCACTGCTCATTTCTCTCCCTGCTTTGCTGCCTTTGCTCCCTCCCATGGACATGGGTCTCCTGGCAGCCTGCTCAGTAGACCCAGCCCCGGGGAGCCCGACCGGCAGCGCCCGTTCTTGGAGGGTGAGGGTGCTGGGAGGCTGTGGCCAGGCCCCCCCCGGGCTTTTCTGAGTAACTCAGTCCTGTGGCGAGGCCGTGGGATCGCAGCTGGGAATGAAGAGCACCCGGTGGACAGGATTCGGGGCGGGGCGCACGGGGACCCGGCCCTGACCGCTGCCGCCGGGGCAACAGTGCCACCCTTCGCCCACTTCCCGCCCCTTGCCGCCGCCCCGCGGAAGGCACCGGCTGAGCGCCTCCCTGCGC